AAGGGTCTGGTTTAGGGCTGTGTCAAGCCCTCTTCCCCCTTCTCACCCCCCACAGAGCCAGGTTTTGGGGCTGGGCAGTGTTCCTTCCCCCTACAGGGTCAGGCCATCCCCCTCTCCTCTGTAGGGCCAGGTTAGGGCCAGGCCACCCCTCCTCTCCCACCTCCACAGGGCTGGGTTTGGGTTGTGTCAACCCCCCTTCCTACCTGTGGACTGACCAGGCACTGCCCACCTGGCCTGCCAGGCAAAAAAGTTGAGCACTTCTGTTCTAGAGAGATCTGATTCAGTGCTCTCCTCCTATGGCATCCCCTTCTGCCACTGTCGGAGACAGGATAACTGGGCTAGATAGACCATTAGTCTGAACCAGCATGGTGCTTCTTAAATAGTTTTGTTTTTTTAAAGGAAAACAGTTCAACATCTAAAGCATCAAAATTAAACTCACCTTGCCCCAGAGTATGCTCCGGACCTCAGGACTCCTCTTGGGCTACATCCAGTGACAGAAGGGCAAGCAGGTGCTTAACGCAGCAATCATTTGCCCCTTCCTACTACCTACATGAATGCCCAATGGGGCTCCAGTCCCAGAATTTAGGCTACAAGCCCTCTCCTCTAATTTTTGTCCCTTCTACCATCTCTGCAGACTAAATTTTATTAGTAGATGTTTAGGATTGTGAATCCAAAAAGATGACAAAGCCAGTAGGGAAATACAAATAGCCTGAACAAGGGAATAACATTAGAGGTGGGGAGGTAAGGAGGGGAATGCAACTAGGTTACAGAAAATACAATGTTAGCCAACTAAGCCCAGGGGTGGGGGAGGGGGGAGAACAGATTGCCTTTTATTAGTAGATGTTTAGGATTGTGACTCCAAAAAGAAGACAATGGTTGTGGGCCATACATTTGACATATCAGATCTAAAGTATCATTTTTCTTTTATAAATACTTAACATTCCCGCAAAGAGGAACTCATATTATCAAGAAATACAGACCTGCACTAGTATTAAATAATTCAGTCATGTGATTATATGAGTGCTGCCCTCATTGATCTTGCACTTAAAGGTATTGCATGTTGTAAAAACACTTTCAAAAATGTTAATCTGCTTTGACTAAAAGCACTCTTGGCATTTAAAAAAAACAAAGGCATAATGAAAATGTCTCTGCTTTTGGTTTTTGCAGTCTGTCATCTTTTATTGTTCAATGCTCTTGTCTCTTCCTCTTTGAGAAAAACTTTAGTAAGTTTGCTAACAAGCCAAGTAGAAAAATATGACTTACCTTTCTGAACCAGGGCTGTGCAACTTCTAAGCCCCTGTGAGCCACAGCAGTGAAAACTGCATATTGCATGGGCCAACATACAAACACTCTTGCCCACTGTTGCGCCATGCGAGTGTAATCACCACCCCCCAGGCATGGCCCCAGTTACCCTCAGCTCCCCACATTGCCCTGTCCTCCTGGGGCAAAAGCAGGAAGTGGTGGCTAGAGGAGGAAGCAGCCAGAGCAATGCGAGGGAGCAGTGGTCAGTGAGAGCCCAGGGGCTGCACATTAACCTCTCACGGGCTGCTAGTTTGACAGCCCTGATCTCGGCATTCCCATCCCACATATTTTACTAAATATGTGAAAACAAGATTAAAAGAAAAAACACTTCCATGACTTTACTCAGTTGTTACAGTTTTACATCTGGAAATATGTAAGTGGCGATTCAAATTTCTGATCTGAAAGTCCCAGTGAAGTTCTTAAGATTTGCAAGCCGCAGCTCTGTCGTCTTCTAAAACGCTTTTACTTTAAAAGTGATACCTATAAGTGTCTCTACTTTTTTATTCATAATTTTTCATTCATCAGAACAAATGCATAGGACAGGGCTGTTTAGAGCATACTGCTGATGAAACCATGTTTTGAGGTACAAGAATATAGGTGTGTTCTAGGGAGTGGTAAGTACTACTATAGACCTTTTAATGTTGTTTTCAGTGGCTGTAGGCAGATGGCTGGCACTCAAGGGGAGAGTAAAAAAACAAACACAAAAAGACTGCTGAACTGTAATCAAATTGTTAGATGGAGCATAAAGCAATGACAGTGTTCAAGACTTGAAGTCAGAAGGCATACCGTGTTTAAATAGCTTTAATGTGACAGTTTTTGGCTGGTATTTCCACGTCTCTAGAACGGGATTGGCTTGGTGTGTGATCTTAATGATTCCGTGTCAGAAACTTGTTTATAATTGTTTTTTTCACAGATAATTTTTTAAGGAAAAAAATCCTAGCTATTAGTATTAAATGTACTGTTCCAGATAGAGGGCCTTGCTTCATGTGGCTACCAGTAATGCAACTCAAGTCTAAATCATGTAGGTTGATGCTAGTGCAAGATCATTTCAGAAGATAATTAAGACATTTTATTAAGACTTCATTTCTTTGAAATTACTGCTGTGCATTATTTTTCAGTGACTATGATTTTGTCTGTATATTTATCACACGTCTTCAGCCAGTATTTCAATTTATATTAGTGACATTTTAAAATTAAAGTAATCTTTTAAAGGATTTTTAGGGGGAGAGAACTAATAAAGACATCGCCAGTAATTAAAGGGATTCCTTAAACTGCATGGTATCATCTTTCATTCTGACATATAAATCTTCTCCCCCATCCCTTTTCTTTCAGGTGGATCACCTTACTTAGCAACAAAAATAAATGAGGCCAAAGACTTGCTAGAAACCAGCACCAAAAATTGATGCTCAAGGACTTCTGTGATTAGGAAAAATGAAACCTTTTATATATTCTTTTCTACAGGAAATCCTGTGGAGATATTTTGGGACAACTATCAGCCACTCATTTTACACAATCGTTTACACTGAATCAGATGATCTGTTATTTATCTTCATAATTAAAGATTTAAGACTATTTAAAAAGTGAACTGAAATATTTCATAGCAGTCTCTGTCTTGCATATTTTCCTTCTATTTATTGTGACCTGTAAAAAGCTTGAGAGGTCTTATTCAACAGTTGTTTAATACAGGTTTGTTCAGTTGGACTGGGCTTCTGTCACTTTTGTGTTGCATTGAAAAACTTGTCTTAAATCTTGTATAGGTTTTCCATTTATTTCAGGGAACTTTGTAACAATAATAATGTACAGGTCTGTCACTTGTAATACAGCAGATCCATAAGGTAAGACTTAAAAAGCTTGCTACACACTGCATTCCTTTACCTTGTAAGCATTAGGATTTGCTTGTAAGTGCAATTTCAAAGCTGCTGCCAGGCTCAAAATGATATAAAGGTGACTCCAAATGCAGTTTTCCTTCATTCCTCACTCCTGAAGAGATTTACATGGGTTTTTTTAAATCTAGATTTTTTTCCATGTTAAAATACCTTTTAACAATGTAAACAAACTTTTGGGGACAAACTTGTAACACTGACCTTTTTTTGCATAAGATGAGTCTTAAACTATCGCCTTGCTGCTGAGCTTTGGGAAATCTAGGACCACAGTCCCTGAGGAAACCAAATAAGTTTGCCATTGAGGAGAGTGGCACCCAAGGTACCATAAATGGTACTATTGCTGTTGCAGGTTCCCTTCAATGGCAGCAACTGAGTTAACTCTCCTGACCAGCCAACATCACTTCTTCTCAAGTGACAGAATTTCACAATTTATTAGTGCAGTGGATCCATTATAGGACTAAGTACAAAGGGGTGTTCTATGGTCCCTTTATGACCACAGTCAGCTCCCTTAGGTTCTGTCTGTGAAATGGGATGATCCCTATGATCTAGCCATAGAAAAACAGTGGGGAAAACATAGTAGGTAAGGTTTTGTAATACATTGTGCATTAGTATTCAGCAAAATGAATGCACATCCAGTGCAGAGTACTTAATAGTTCCTAAATCTCCAGCTCATTGATTTTTTTTTTTTTGAGACTGGGAGGCGGCAAACATTTTTCTTCCAAAAAAGTACTGGTAAACAGAACAACTCCCAACAACTGTTTCACGCTTTTGAAAAAATCCTCTTTCCATTCTCCTGTGCGCACATTCCCAAGCATGAGTACAGACAGATATCACATGCCTTTGTAGCACTACAAAAAGTTGAGCATACAAAGATGTATGCAGCCTTATAGTGCTACAAAAATGTTCCTGGGCGAAACAAGAAATTCTCTGGAGTGCTCCATTTTGTAGTAATAGCCACAGAGGTGTTATAGTGTACCACAGAGCTGTTATGGGTCTCTTGGTCCCCCAGCATCCCAATGTGTTCCACACTGGATGGTCACTGAGAGCAGTACTGGTAGGGTACAGCCTGCCCGCTCACAGTCACTGGCAACATGCCAAGCCACCTTCCCCGCAGTGAGGAAATGAGGGGGCAGCAGGCCTGGGATGCTGACAGTTGCTGACAGCCTGTGGTCCTGGCTGAGCTGCAGTTGTCACTGACTATGGGACTTCCCCCCAACAATCTCATGAATCCAATTGAAACAGATGCTCTTACCATGAGTAATAGAAGTCCAGCCATGAGAGAGAATGTGGAACTTTTGCCAGCGTACCTCCCAAACGACACGGCTAAGGCTAAAACTCCCAACGTGAAGTCATCTAGTCACTCTTCCTGCCAATCCCAGATGTATGATATATTGGCTTTGTTAGTCCCAAGATACGGTTAAAACTAGAATTGATAGTACGCTGAAGAGTATGTTCATGCCAAGTGCTATGAACATACTTAACAAACAGAATTCTGCCATTTAAAAGCAAGATGTGAGTGGATCTACAAAATCAGCTGCATTTTAAAGAAATTGGCCTATATTTCATGCTTGAGTCTTTAAGCACTCGCTTTTAAAAGAATAGCAGCCAATTAATGCACATTTAAGATTAGATATTCTTTTCACTGATTTAGTGGTGTGCATTAGCAGAAAAATCAGTGAAGGTTTTGGGTTTTTTTGGGTCCCTGATTTTTATAGGTAGACTCTGTAAGTGATCTGGACGATTGCCCAAAAGCAAAATTGCTCTGCATGGTAGGCAGCAAAAATGTTCCCTCTAATGACTTTACGAGCTGACTAGCTATTGTTCCCAGGTGAGTGCCTTTTCTTGTTGCTGTGCAGAAAGAAGAAAACCTCACATTTTAAAGTATCAATTGAAACATAAATACATTTAATACTGTTAATTTAAGAACAGAACAAGGCTAACTTCCAGTTCCTTTGGTTCTATAAGAAGTACAAAATATTTCTGTATTTTTTCATTCATTTTAGTTTGAGTGATTTGAACCTCACAGGCACCAGGTCTGGCAGAAAATAGATTACTCTGGTGACAGCAATTTGGTCTTATTGTTCAAGTGAAAGGGAAGGAGTTTCCCCATCTTTTCTTTTACCTCTTTCTTCAGAGTTCTGTTGTTTCTACTTTCTCTTCTCTTTTCTGGAGCCAAATGACTCTCATTCACTATGAGACCCAAGTCTGGTACCTGGTCATTCACTGAAATCTCCCATTATTACATGCCCAGACCTGTGCAAGCTCTGTATGCAACAACGAAAGTGTGTAAAGTTAAGCACCTACTTGGCAATAACTGCATATTGGGATGGACGGTAGAGGAAAATTAAAGCCTATGCTTTGTCTATTAAATCACATGAAAAGTAAGAGCAGGGAAGTGGAATGAAATGGTTTAGTTGAGGCTGTCACTTCAGCTACCAGTTTCTTATATTTGATTTGCACGTAGGTAATTTTTCCTTGAAAACTTTCTGGTCCCTGCATCCAGAACTGTTTCTGCATTTTATCTAAAGATGGTTTAATGCAAAAAGTATTCAACAATACTTAAATTACTTCCTAAAATGAGTGTAGTTAAATACTTCAATGCTTTTGAAGCTTTTCTCATAATTGTGTTTGGAATAACCTCTTCAGAAGCAGAATGTCTCTTCTTTTGGGGGCTTTTCCTGTATGCTTTTCCCCTATGGCTGCACAGAGTTTTCTGTTTTATTGGCAAGAAGAGGAGACTGAACTTGGCTTGCCCACTGCAGCCTCCAGAACTCTCAGTTTGAATGGAGATGAAATTAACATTGCTGTTTTTGGCTTAGTAACAAAAGCTTTGGTTTGTAAATTGCCAAGCCATCTTTGATTGTGAATCAGCACAATCATTGATGTCAATGCAACCCTGAGACTTCTGTTTTGTCATTTAACTGCTGCTGTCAACCAACAAAATCCAGAAATACATGACTATCCAGGACCCATGAAGAGTTTATTTGGTTCTAAAACAAATATCTATCTTGTTATCTTTAGCAGAATTAAATTTAAAAATACCAAAAACAAGTCCCTCCTCTGCCCCCCCCCCCACACACACACAGATTTAGAATTCAGTTGGAGTCTCCAAATCAGATAATTACAGCATATAGGGAACAAAAATGTTGACATTAAGCCATGATTTCACAGGCATCTTCCTCAAGCCCCCAAATGCTGTTGAACTAGTTAAAAAATTACCGTTTGTTTGGTTTTGTTTAAACTCAGTAGCTCATTGGGAATGTCCTGTTTTTGTTTGTTTTTGTTTAAAAATGTATGCTAGCTTCTGTGTCTATATAGAGATATAGGACTGGAAGGGTCCCTTACAGGGGACCTCATCTAGTCCCACCCACTATTCAGTGCATGATCATCCCTGATTGAACCACCTCAGCCAAGTGTCTGTCCAGCTCACTCTGGAAGAATATCCATCCTTGGAAATTTTATAATTTCTCTAGGGAGCCTGTTCCAATATTTGACAACCCTCAGAGTCAGAGAGTTCCTCTTAATCTCCAACATAAAGTTTCCCTGGCTAAAGCTTGAAGCCATTGCACCTAGTTGTGTCCCCTACAGCCACAGAGAGAAGCTCATCTCCATCCTCTCTATAATTGCCCCCCCAAAACCCCCTCAGTCTTATAGATTCATAGATTTAGGGTCGGAAGGGACCTAGTAGATCTTCTAGCCCGACCCCCCGCCAGGGTGGGAGAACAACAAAACCCCAAAACAAGAAACGGGACTCAAATGAGTCCAGCCAGGTACTCTTCTCTTCTCCAGACTAAATAACCCTAGATCCTTTGGGAATCTGTGTCCTACAAATGATCTCTTGGGTAAGAGCATGGTGCTGCTACCGGGGAAGTGTTGCATAGGAAGTTTGCTTTGCAGATTAACCACTGCCTTCCTTAGGAACTTTGGTTCCCAGTGCCACCCATCCCTATTCGCTGCCAAACAAGTGCACGAGCCAACACATCCTGATTTATGCGATGTAGCATTGGCATAGGCAGGTTTCACTAAGCCCTGCAGCCAGCTGGGCATTGATGCCCAATGGGAGGGCACTGTAGGCAGTGTGCACTAAGTACATACCAGTGAGGCATGCCAACATCTACACCATAAGCCACTCCTTCCAGCTGCCACACATCAGGCACAGGAGTGGACACAAGACAAGCAGGGGGTAAGAACACAATCTCCACCATGCACTCTGCTTCATTGAACACCACCTTGGGCAGGTCAGTGGTAAGGAGCAGAATGTGTACAGGGGCCTCCACTCGACCCGCAGCCTCATGTTCCAGCACGTGGCTAGTGCCAGCAGCACGAATACGTCCAGTGCCAACACCAGCACCCATGGTTTCATGGAGCAAGACATGCTGGCAGAGGAGCAGAAGGCAGGGCAGGGCAACAGCAGCAGACATGGGCCTGCACAGCCTGTACGTGTGGGGGGCAGCAGAGAATCCATTCCCAAGCCTCTGGCCACAGTGCTGCCTATGGGCAAGACAGACCTCCAGGAGTTGACCATTGCAATTGTATCACTTCCTTCAAAACTAGGGAGATGCATAGTGGGTGCGTCTACACGTTCATTAAGTGCTTCTGCTACTGCACATTAAATTTGGTACCTCCAATGTGAGGTGCCAACTAAATGTGCATTAGGCTGCCCTAACACACAGTACAGAAAGCGCACTTTTTTTTTTAGTAACGCTTAAATGTGC